TACCCAACCTAGGTGTCCTTTCAATGGGTATACACTAACGTTTTTCAGTGTGCTATCATTTGAGGAAACTGGATAAAATGTGCTCCCTGGTGGCGCAGATGGTTAAAGCACAGCACTAAGAAGCTAAAGCCACTTCAGCATGAGTTCAATCCCTGCCCCAGGAGGTGATCCACATGGTGCAGCAGACCTCTCCTGATCTGTCCACTCCTCCCCTCAGCAGTGTACTTCGTCAGTCGGCCTGTTTTGCTCCCCACACTGTCTCTGGTGAATCCTCTTACCAACCCTGCATCTCTGGTCTGTCTGTACTCTCTACCCCAGTTCTGTTTGCATAAATAAATAAATCTTTTTTTTTAATATTTATGGAATCCCTCTGTGTTTTTCCTTGCAAAAACTTGCAAATCTATAATTATCTAAAAAGTGTACAAATAATAATAGTCAAATCAAACAGTAAAAAAAAAAAAATCAATTGAATCAAGTTTGTGAAAATCTGAATGAGAAGGAAAGCCAGGCATAACAAATAAGGGTGCTAAGAATGGCTGTGAACCTTGTTGGGAAGAAAATCAAGGAAGGTTTCACAAATATCACTTTTAGATTGAACCTTGAAAAACATCAGGTTTTATAGGAAAACTTTTTTTGTTGCAAAGAATGGTCAAAAGTTAAGGCATGGTATCTCAAGGTATGATAAGGCAGTTGGCAATCTAGATCAAGGAAAACCTTCAGTAATATTAAGGACTGGGCTTCAAATGCTCAGTGCTGAGTTATAAATATAATTGACGTTTCCAGCAGGGTAGCACAGTTTATTCTCATCACACACAGCTTCAGGAGCGAGAGAACTAAAGCAGCGACAGGCCACTCTGATGGCCACATAAGCCTGACAGTACAGTCAGTGAGTGCTCCTGGACCCCAACATCACTCAGGCTTTCATAGCAGAGAATAACACGATCTCATCTTGGTTTCAATAATAAATCTGCTGGTTGTCCAGCACCTGCATTAGAGAGGAAACAGTCAGAAATAAAGAGCACAGAAAATGATGAGGTCCACATAGGGAAATGGAAAATGAACTAGAAAAGATTAGACAGATAATGAAGATATGTCAGAGAGACCTTGGATCATCCAAGCTGGGAAGATAGTCTGAGCTGATTCTGAAATGACTGGCTTAACAGCGGTATCGTGGCTCAGGACATCTCTTTCTGAAGTAGGAACACAGAAAGATAGACAGATTGATGGAGAAGGGAGGTAACGCCATTGGCTTGTCGTGGGTTAAAGGTTGCAGGAGATGTACAGGAGATCTATAGATTGACTAGAAAATTGATTGTATCATTCAGGTCAGGAGAGAGAATCAGTCTGAAGATGTGACATTATAGTCACAGCTTATCTCATAGTGAGAAGGTTCAAGAACAGAACATGAGAGAATCTGCACACTCACATCAGTAGGGGAATGACTTGGAAGAGAACAGATCAGAGATGCAGGAGATAATCTAGAAGACAAAGAGCTGAAATACAGGGCAAGGAATCTCACAAAGGAGGAGATACAGAGGAGAGCCCAGAATAGCAAAGAAATCCTGCAGAATCAGATGTGGGAGAAAGGTACGGAATTGGACTCTCAGGTGAACAGACATAGCAGAGCACGGTGGGGTGTCAAGTGAGGGCAGTTAGGGATAAGGCAGGGAACATGTCGTGTGTCGTGATCCCACTAGCCTTTTCCTTTCCAGTCTAATTTGTAGTGTTATGAATAATGTAATTTTCTTGCACCTGGTGGATTGTTCTCCAGTATCCCCTTCAAATAGATGTTCGTTAAGAAACCAAAACTAGCAGAGCCACATAACCCTAGCAGCAGCAAGAAAGCCTTTATTTAATTCAAATAATTTTACATTTGTTTTGTTTAAATACTCTTTCTGTTCTTAAAAGCAAATATTGGTGGGTAAATAGAAATTTACATTTTCACTTTGAACTTTTTTAAATTTCAGAACTAGTTTATAAAAGGTAGGTAGATTTTATGAATTTATATTGCTTTCAATAGCTTAAGCACTCTTGCTCAGTTGTGACTGTAGTGGGTCTCGTGGTAAAAGGCTTTTGTTTCACAATCTCAGAAAGTACCTTGCAGTTGCAAGAATATGAGATTTTAGAGGTTGAAACTAACCTGGTGGAAATTCAAATCCATCTTTTATCTTTTAAATAAAAGCCTATGAAATCCTTTCAGTGTGAAGGTATCAGCAGACTTGATTCACCTATAACCTCATTACTAACCCAAGGATTATTCAAAATATATAAGGAGCAAGGCTCTGTGTCTGCAATTCCTTTTTATCAATTCTACAGTCTAGTGATAAGCTGTATGTGGTCCTCCTAGTTCTGCTTGGATAATTCTTGCTTCCACCCTCTTGGAGATCACAATACAAATTCAAGGCTTTCATGACTTTTACAATAAAGAAGCTTGTCCAATTTTACTTGAGTATTTCCAAACTTATTTAGCCATAGAACCTTTCCCCATATTACCGTTTCATAATTTGCCTGGGGTTTTTATAAGCTAAGAAGTGGAAAGGATACTTTAAGGATTGATACTGTGGATCTTAGGTCTCTAAGTTGGAAGTAATGCGGTGTTCTCAGTATGTTTTTGTTTTATGGATTGGAGTTGGTGAAGAAAAAAATTCTTTACCAGTCTTAACACTAATGGTTCTTCCCTTGAATGAGAAGAATTGGCTTACTAGTTATGGGCTTTGTATGTTTTACTGGGGGGAAAAAAAAGTGCTCATCTGTTGTTTGTTTCATTAGTGCAATAAGTGCCCAATTAATAAGAGAGTTTGTTATGGACATAGAAGTATAAACAAAAAGCAGTTATATCCGTTTGCCAATTGTTATTTTAAAACAAGATAATTCACTACTTGGGGGCACAAATCTAACTTCCAAAACTGAAGCCACATAATGATTTACTTATTCCCTAAATGTATGATCTTATCTGCACGGATTTACATTTGGAGCAATAAAACCTCTGGCAACTGCTCCCAGTTGTCTGCATGAAGAGGAGAGGAGAGATAAGAACATTCCTATTTTTATTACTTTCTTGAACATCTGAAGTTGGAATGGGGGTGCGAATGGGATACCTGTCATGGCCATAAATGTTCAAGTAGGATAGTAAAGAAATATGGCAGCCCTTTTTGGGAGAGGCAGTAAACCTCTCAGGCCCTCACCTCCATTTATTAAAACCTGCCAAAGGTGAAAAAAAAAATTAAAAAATCAAGAGAGTTATCACCTCCTCTTCATCTGGGGGAAAAAAAATATCACTCCAGCTTTGAACTATCTTAGGGCTTTAGGAGAATCATTGCTAGACGAGATCTTAATATTTATTGTAAGATCATGGGTTGCCTTATAACTAGAGACTGCTTTGCCCAGGTTACAGATGACAATAATTTGGTGAGGGTGCAGTGTAAAGGCAACATTTGGGGAGGGGCTTTGAATCAGGTATACCCAGCAGTAGTGTCAACCCTGGGATGGTCGTTACCCCTAGCTGATTCAATCAGAAGCCACTTGGGGTCATGTCAGGAGTCGGTGTCCAGAGATTATTAAAACCTTTGAATTTTCCCAACTCCCAAATATGTCACACGGTTAGTATTAGCTCATTTTTAGGGCCTAAATTTCTTACACATTCTTCTATGGACACTAGTACTATGCCAAAATTATAATAGAGTCTGGTGGGGGGTTTTATTGCCTAATAAATAATATCATAGGAGGTCATAATTCCATATTAGTTACTAAATATCCAGAATATATAAGGAATACAAAGGTGGGTCTAGGCTATGGATGAAAAACAGCTCTGTGACATTTCTTAAAATTTATTTTCTTTTTTAATCTGAAAGTAGAACAGGAACATTTTCCTAAATCCCAGAAGTAGAAACCTGAACTCAGCTTGGAAGCCTTAAAGAATTACATTGAGAGAGCCGCTTTTCTTTAGACATTTGTTGCAAATTAAAAATTCCTCCATTTTTTAAAGAAATCTCAGTGTTTAAGTGGGGCGTCTAGAAACTCACTTCATGGTCTTCATCTACTTTCCTAGAAAGACATTGGAATTATGCTAGAGAGGAATGATCCTTTTCAATTTTGGAAAACCTTCATTGTTGGATTAGTGCTCTTCTGTAATGAATTTAAGGATCTAGCTATCCTGATTGGCAAGAAATCCCTTTTTTTTTTTTTTACTCGAAGTGACAGTGGTTTCTAACACTGTATAATTAGAGGTAGAAGTTCACACCCCTTCATCTGTAGGTTAACCACACCCTACCCACCACCACAGGCCTCCACCATTGAGTTCCCACCCTTTGTACTCCACCCTTCTGGTAACCTCTATTCTACAGACAGGTTTCTAAGTTTTGTTTTGTTTATCCCTTGTTCTTTTTTTTTCCTGTAATCCTATTTTGAGCTTCTGGTAACAACTGAAATTCTCTTTCAACGTTGATCTTTTACCATTCTCTGGGATAAAGTTATTTCCTCCAGATAAGTCAGTCTATCTTTAATTATTATTCTGCAATTTCCCAAGTACACACACACCCCAACTTAAGCTGATCCTTCTTGAAGATCATTGTCAACTGCCCAATTTCTTCTCTTTTAACTGGTTATTTGAACTCTTTCATTTTTTCCTTCTTCTTGAAGATTGCCATGACTCTCACATCCTAAATCATGTATCCAAACTTCTCCCCACCTAAAAATAAGAATCAATTCAGTGGCAAAATTTGTTCAAAGGCAAAGGCTGCTACCATTACATCTTAGTCTATGGGGGTTGCAGTGGGAAGAGAGAACAGAACACTGTTCTGTAGAAGGCCATCTGTCTTCCATGGCCTAGAGGATCTCTCCAAGGAGATCCTTGGGACTGAACATAAACTCAGCACAATTTACATCCCAGTCCTATTAGATCTTTTCAGAACTTTTAGTGTTGACATTTCTTTTGTTTCCTTCTTGGGCAGCATGGATTAATTTTTCCCATAGCAATTAAACTATATTTTCTCTGTTGACAGAGACCAGGTACTGCTATACTCAACACACAATGGAAGTCTCGGGAAATAGCATCTCTGTCACCAAACGCTGCGTTCCATTGGAAGAGTGCTTGTCCACCGGCTGCAGAGACGCCGAGCATGAAGGCCACAAGGTCTGGGCCACAAAGCAAGTGATAGGAACAGCACAGTCAGCCTTCCTCTGTTTCAGAGTCCTGCCAGTGCTCATGAGCAAATCTTTACTCCTGCCTCCTTTTAACCTGTATTTTGTCTTGATGTATTTTGAAAAGATGCTTCCTATCTCCTGTTTGCTCTAAAGGAATACAAATTTATACCAGGACATAGGAAACGCGTCGGGTATAAATTCTATTCATAAAACAGCAAGAGAGTATGATGGTTGGAGGTGGTTGAACATGTGATTCTGAATATCAGGACTTGTAGGATCTGCCTACTTTTCCCCATCAGGCTGCTTCGTGGTGGTTGTGGGCAACTCCCACTGTCAATATCTGTAGATAGCCCTGTTAGGGAAGGTTTATGTCCCGTAAGAAGTCCCTTAATTTTAAGCAAATTTTTTTTCAAATACACTGAGTTAAATCTAACATGTTTATTTGAAATGTGAAGGGTAGAACCAAGAATTTTACCTGACCCTCCAGCAAACTAGGCTTTGCTACTTCACCAAGAGGAAGTTATAGATCAGAGAAGTGACATCATGTGCTCAGGTTGCACAGCTAGTAAGTGATCAGACATGAAATTTTCTGCAGGACATTATAGTATATTCACCATCATGGAGTTTTTCAAATATTACTGTAGATATGAATCATTTGGGAATTTTCTGAAAATGCAGAGTCTAATCCCTAAATCTGGGATGAGAGTTGATGTTCTGCATTTCTAATAAGGTCCCAGTTGATGCTAAAGTTGCTGCTCTAGACTTAGAGTGGGTGTGACCTAAAATAATCTGTCAATAATCCTCTAGGTTTATTTCTCTCTTATGTTCTTATTTCTCTATCACATTCTAAAGTGATATAAGGTAGGAATAATTGTACAAATGAAAACCCTTCAAACTTTAACTCACCCACATGAACAGAAATAACTGTTGCAGACATTTCTAAATTGTTTACATTTAAGTAATTTAAGCAGTTGCCACTTCAGTTTCACTGAAAATTTGGTAAGTTAAAGTTTATCCTGTTAACAGCTTCCTTGAGTAGGCGAAACAGCCTCTTTGAGAAAGATAGAATAAGCATTTAACCCCCCCATTTCAAGATAGTAGAGCTTAGATAATGGAAGGTTGTCAACGGTACAACAAGATGGGAGGATGTCAGAAGCAACCCATTTCCTTTGAAGTTTAGTCTGGGCTGGAGTTGGGGGTATGCTTGGTGGTGGTGGACAGTAGGCAGTATTAATTCTGACCACTTTGCTTCCAGAGGAAATTTCATTCCATCCCTTAAATGCAGGGCTGGTGTCTCCTTTGTAGAATGGATCTTTTCGGTTTCAGTTTTGCCACAAAAGAGACTATTTCTTCAAAGCACTTTGCCATTTTTCAAGACTGGCTTGTTTCTCATCATCCTTCTTTTTCTTTGTGTTTCTTTTAGGTCTGTACTTCCTGTTGTGAAGGAAATATCTGTAATTTGCCACTCCCTCGAAATGAAACTGAAGCTACATTTGCCACAACATCACCCATAAATCAGACAAATGGGCACCTACACAGCATGTCAGTGATCATGTCCTGCTTGTGGGTGTGGTTGGGACTCACATTATAGCAGCTCAGAGGCTCCCTGTACAGGTGTAATCATAGGCATCCTGGCGGTGCCATCATGCATGAGTCATTGACTGATGGTAGTTACATGTGAAACCACAACACTCACAATGTCTTCAGAGCCAAGCATCACCGCTTAACCTTGAGGAACACACATTGCTTCAGTGTAGTCATTTCAAGTCCAGCACCTCATCAGAGCCAGCCTGTCCCCAAAACAGACCCTGACTTCTCTACCACAAACCTTTGTTTTTGCTCGGAGAAATAGTTCTGCATTTATTGAAGTCTGGGGTTCTTCATTTGGAGGACATGCATGTGCCACTGGAAATCCAGGGAATTTTTTTCAGCCATGGGGTTCTATTCCTGTGCAGTTAATCTGGAAAGAGAAAGGGTTTTGGAAGGAAAGGAGGAAGGTGTATGGTGTTGATCCTAGTTTATTCTGAGGGTTCTGTAAGTGACTCATCCAGACCTTCCTCCATCTCCTCATACTAACAAAGAGCCTTTCTCATACTTTCACTTCAAATCCCCTGTGATCTTAGGGAGAAGGTTCTGCATTCAGTTATGTCAAGATCGATAGAGAAAAGACATAATATCCTAGAATGATAAGGAAAGGTAAGATCAGTAAGGAAACCTAGTGGGAAGGTTTGGTTTCTTTTAAATAGTTTTTGGAGTAAATGGTCAAATATTCACCCTCCTTCCTATATTTATGGCACTCATGTTACAATTTTTTCTTCTTGTAAATCATTATACTATATTTATTTTTGTATGTCATAACATAAAATATATTGTAAAAACTCTATTCTGAACAATCAAATTAGAATACTTATTTTTCATGGTGGTAGAGCTTGTAATATATGTTTCTTGAAAGTTATCTATAATACTTGCACCAAAATTGAAGTTAACTTATATTATGAGCAAAAATAATGCGTTGACCTCAAGGCTTTTGCTCATGATTTCCTCAGTGGTGATGTCCCAGTAGTATTTGGGTGGCAGCCATCACTGATAGGAGTATCTCTGTAGGGTTGTGGGGTGTGTTTGCAAGTAATGTGGTGGGGCTGCTGCTGATCAACAGTAGTGATGCCAGGGGCCATCTGCCCTGTACAGGAAAATGACTCTGGTTCATAAAATGAGACACCCTCAGGTACCAAATAAAAATGGGCAGGGGTAACTCTGATACAAAGTAATGAAATTGTATCAGATGGCCTTAATTCAGAGTTCAGTAAACTTATCAATATGTTGTTTATGATTAGGGTAGGAGAATAGTGAGAGAGAAAGCAAGACATTTATTGAGTACCTCTTCTGTGGCAGGAACTATGCTGAGCACTTTACAAGTTAAGTCATAAAACCTCTGCAAGAATCTTGTAAGGAATATTACTAGTATTTAAAACTTTACAGATGAAGGTACTGTGTAAGAAGCTCAATAGTGTGAAGGCCTTTCATTCTGATTTAGTTTCTTTGGTATGAAGTGAGATTGAGAGGAAGGGAAGGTGGAATTACCACTCCTAGGAAGACTTCCAGGCCTGACTTCATGGGAAATTGTCCATCCTTATCATGTGGAGTTTATCTAGTCCTGTCTCTACAGGGTGCCATTTGCATGTGTCCAAGATGATTTTTCTTTGGGAGGTTGGGTGGGGGGAGAGCTATGACTTTCTCATTCATTCCTATTCCTAAAAGAGAAGACAGGTTGATCTTACATATGAAGATGCTATAGGACAATAAAATTTGTTGTTGTACATACCTACAAGTATCATTTTTATGCATGATCGCTCTCCACTGACACCTTCCAAGTACTGCATGTGATCTGAAGAGGAGACAAAGTCAAATGTTGGTTCTTAATGAGAAAGCAACCACTCCAAAGCCAGGGATCAGATCCACAGTGGTGTGGACTCATTTGCTGCCTGGGGGGCAGGGTGGGAGGTGACTGCAAGCTCTATACAAATGTGGCTGTGTCTACCCCATGTGCCTGTCCCTAAGGCTGGCATTTTGTTCTCTTGAAAGAAAGTGGTTTGCTCACCATCCCAAGCAGCAAGGAGCCAAGGAAGACCCAGGACAGGTCAGCCATCTGACTCTTCTACATTCATCCTTTCATTAAATCCCACCATTGCTGATGGCTTGAAGTGCAAAGAGCCATGATATGTATATTATTCTGTGTACCATTTATTTATTTTTAGGTCGCACTCATGTTCATATGGGATTGATGCTTAAATTTTGTAAATATTGTACATTTTGTAAATCGATGAATAAAGGTTTTAAGTGTATCTCACCAGACTCTTCCTTGTAAGTGTGCATGTCACCGACGTTAAGGGACTAGTTCACTTAGAAGGCGTTGGGCTTAGCGTTCCCAGGGACATAATTCCAGGAGCTTGTTTTGTAGTTGTACATACAAGAACCTGTACCTCCAAATCATGTACAATGTTGTCAACCAATGCTACTTCAATAAAAATAAAATTTAAAGGCCCTCCCTGGTGGCGCAGCGGGTTAAAGCACAGCACTGAGAATCTAAAGCCGCTTCCGCATGAGTTCGATTCCCGCCTGCCCAGAGGTGACTACATGGCGCAGCAGACCTCTCCTGACCCGCCCGCTGCTCCCCTCAGCAGTGTGCTTCCTCGATCTGCCTGTTCTGCTCCCTACTCTGTCTCTGGTGAAGCCTCTCACCGCCCCTGAGCCTCTGGCCTGTACCCCAGTTCTGTATGCACAAATAAATAAATCTTTAAAAAATAATAATAAAAATAATTAATAAATAAATAAAATTTAAAATACAACTCAAAAATATGTACATGAAAAGATACAAGATAATTTACCCATGCCAAATGATTCATAAAGACTAAGTGCTGCAGAAAATTAAAGAAGGAAAGATTATGAAACTTTAAGTCTATAGTTACCCTAGATTTTCTTGTTAAACTATGAGATATAAGGAAAAAGAGAGAGAGCACGTACACATGATTACTTACATGTCTTATTCTATTTTTGGGGTGAGTTACGTTAGTGATGTTACAATAGACATTTTCCCTTTGATACTTTCTTTTGCAATGGGAAACAAACATTTGAATAGCATAAATGCCACTTTCTTCAATGCAACGCATTTATTGCATTTTTCTTAGTAAAATGATACATATTGAAAGTGATTCAGAAAATTTCAAATTGTTTGAAGTTCTACTTGTGTAACATAGTACATTTTGTAATTTCCAGGAAATAAATGTTTTCTCCAAAGTTCAAGGTTCTGTTAGCTTCTGGATCAGTGATAATGTTGGTGCGCCCAAAAGTGGGCTAGCTACATAAGATAGCTCTTACCACTAAGCACCTTGAATAGCCATGTGTTTAATAAAAACACCATTGCAGGTAGACATGCTTTTGGAAAATCTGACTTTGAAATATAGACTTACATGGTAGTCCAATTTGAACTAAAGTTTGGTCTAAAAAAGAATTTTTTTTTTTTAAAGATTTATTTATTTGTACATACAGAACTGGGGTACAGGTCAGAGGCTCAGGGGCGGTGAGAGGCTTCACCAGAGACAGAGTGGGGAGCAGAACAGGCAGATCGAGGAAGCACACTGCTGAGGGGAGCAGCGGGCGGGTCAGGAGAGGTCTGCCACGTCATGTGGTCACCTCCGGGGCAGGCGGGAGTTGAACTCATGCGGAAATGGCTTTAGCTTCTCAGTGCAGTGCTTTAACCCGCTGCGCCACCAGGGAGGGCCCCTAAAAAAGAATTTTATATCTCTTTCCTAACACATAAGATTTCATTTACACATAACGTAGAGCATACCAGATACATATGGCAAGATATTGTACCTTGGCGGTATTATGGTAACTTCTATCAAAAACTTATTTCTTAAAAGTTTTTAATAATGTTTCAAAATAAATTTTAATACACTTAAATTTAATGAAATTAAATTATTGATAACATTAATAAACTAAAATGAATAATTTTATTAAATAAGTGAAAATTAAAATGTAATGGTTTAGTAATTTTTAATAAATAACTCATCTAGCAGGAGTTAAAACCCTTCGAGTTCCTATTGTTCATCCACTCTGTAACTAGCTCATTGGGGTTAGAACTAAGTTCATTGGGGTCAAAGGTAAGCATCATGCTTTTAGTGAGGAGAACTCTCCATCAGATTCTACTGGTAATCAGATCTCTGATTTTTAAATTTAATATAAAATTTTCTGACATGATTTAGCGTTATAAAATCAATGTAGATTCCAACATCTGTTCAAATGAAGCCTTTATTTTCAGCAGTTAATTTTGCTAATTTTAAAATCATGGCTTTTCCTACTAGCCAATTACATTGTCTTGATACTACTTGAAAGTTATAATTCCACTTGCATTTGTTGGAATTGGATGGGTTGGGGAAGATCTTTGTGCAATGATATTTTAAACTGGCTGGACACCTAACATCCAGAGGTCAAGATGTGCCTTCCGGGGTGGACTACTTGCTATTCTCCCAGTAGCAATCCCTGATTCTTGCCTAGGAGCTTATTCTCAAATCACTTTTATATTTATTGTTTCAAGAACAGCCTAATGCCATTCATGCTTTCCTATCTGAAGATTTGGCTGATTAAGGGAGGCTCCCTTGCTAGTTTATGCTTTTATTCCCGCAGACTTTTCTTCTCTCCCCAAGACTCTGCACCACAGTCACCCCATTGACAAGGTGAATGGCTCCATGTTTTGTTTTGTTTTTTAATATTTATGTATGCATACAGAACTGGGGTACAGACCAGAGGTACAGGGGTGGCGAGAGGCTTCACCAGAGACAGAGTGGGGAGCAGAACAGGCAGATCTACGAAGTACACTGCTGAGGGGAGAAGTGGGCGTGTCAGGAGAGGTCTGCCCAGCGGTGTAGATCACCTCCCTGGTTGGAGATCCAACAAGTGTGGAAGTAGCTGTGGCTAGCTTCTTAGTGCTGTGCTTTAATTTGTTGTGCCACCAGGGAGGGCCCTTTCTCTGGCACTTTTAAGAAAAAGCCATTTCTCGGGTCACAAAGTTGGAAATGATGGGACCTTAGAAAATGCTTCATCCACCTCTTTTATTCAAGACAAAGAACCCAATCACTAAGAAGACCACACTGCTGTATTAAAGGTAAAACTCATCAAAATGTCCCTTCTCTAATGTTCAAAGTACATAAGACTTGGATAATGAGAAACACTCTAGAAGTTTCCTCCCCTTTATCCTCACTGGAGAGTTGGCAGTACCATGAGAACCACCAAGGTAGGAAAGGGCAGAGAACATATCTAGAGGTAGTCTGATGGCAACTGATGTTCATTCTCACCTGAGGAAAAAAATATGCAGTGGAAATAATCCTTTAAGAACGGTTTGCCTAAGTTTTCCTCAGTATGCCCAGTATGAGAAACTGACCTCCAAAACCATGCTTGGGCCTCGAGTTCGGGCTTCCACTGCTATGGGAATGGCAGGAGTGGCTCTGTTTAATGGGGAAAATGTGAATGAAAAGTCTGTTAAGTCTAGGCAAAATGAACAAAGTATCACCAGAATAGAGACATGATGTCAAAAGAAGGGCTCACAGTAAGTCTGGCCCTCAATAAATTCATTCATCAAAACAGACTACCATCTGACCTTGTCTCTACAGAGGGACGTGACTTTGAGGGTGTGCTCAAGCTCTACGCCCAGGTGCTGTCTCCCTGGCTTCTCTGGGCAGGGGTAACATCACGTCACACACCTGTGATG